GCACAGCACGCGGATTCCAACATATCAAAAAAGGTTCTCTTAACATTTTCCCACGCTGAAAACCAGGCACGGCACGGCACGGCACTACCACTTTGTCGCATTCTGAATCCCACCAAGCACGGCACGTCGCGGCCACATTTTCGCACTCTGAGAACCAAGCCCGGCCCGGCCCAGCAAATTCCCGCATTCAGAAAAACACATCACGACATTTTTTTCGAAGTCAATCTGGAAAACAGGCACGGCACGGTACGGCAACATATCTCGCTTTCTGGAACACGAGCGCAGCACGGCACGAGCGCATTTCAAAACGATGAAGTGGTTATCTTAGCATTGCCCACGCTGGAAACCCGACGCAGCACGGCACGACCACTTGTCGCTTCTGAACGCCAGGCACCTCACGGCACGGCGACTTCTGCCGCACTCTGAGGACCAAGCAGGGCACGGTACGGCACGGCCACTGTTTCGCGATCTGAAGCATTCTGGAAATCAAGCATGGCACGGCACGAGGAGACATGGCACGCGTGCGGCAACTTTTCCGCAACCAGCAACACAAAATCACATTCGTAATGTAATTCTGGCCTCTTACAGTCTTCGCTGTTTAGGGAACTGAAATGCTGACAGCTTCCGCCAGAGAAGCAACGCTGCTAGAGATGGCAACAGCCCCCGCCCAACCTGTCGTCCTCACCGCCCTCCTGTCACTTCTCTTCCTCCTCCTCAACCTTCTCCTCTATATCCGCTCCCTCGTCCACATCATCCGTCCTCATCCTCCTCTCCATGCTCCTTTCTCCTGCTGTTCCTCCTCCCCCTCATCCCGTCCTCATCTTCATGCTTCTTCTCCTCCTCTTCCTCCTCCTCCTCCTGACTGCCGAGCTGGCACCTCGCCGGCCCTCGTTTTCACGCCTCTCCGCGCAGAGCAGCCCTCTTCTTGCTCGTCCTTCCCTCCCCACCCCTCCTTTCCCCCCTCTCACTCTTTCGAGCGTTCTCTTTCTAGCTCTCCCTCGTTCTGTCATAATCTGTAGATTCATATATATATATATATAGATATGTATGTATCAATAGTGGCTTCTCTCTCTATTTCCATCTCTCTCTCTCTCTCTCTCTCCCTCTGTCATTATACCTCTCTCTCTTTCTGTCTTTCTCTCTGTTTCTTCATTGTTGTTTCGCTCTCTCTCTCTCTCTATTCCTTCCCATCCTGCCTCTCCCCTCGTCCCCCTGCCCCCATTCATCCCTACCCCCCTCTCTTATACCTGGTCTCCCGCCAGTGCGTCCTATTTCTCCTCCCCCTCACGCACCTCCTGCTGCTCCTCTTGCTGCTGGTTCTTCCCCTCCTTCTCCACATCCCATGCCTCCTCATGCTCCTCCTTTTCCTCGTCCTCCTGCAAAGTGTCCACCTTCTCGTCCCCCTCCTCCGCCTCCTCCTCCTCCTCCTCCTCCTCCCCTTCCTCCCCCTCCTCCTCCTTTTCATCCTCTTCCTCCTGCTCACCATCATAGTCTCTATCATCGCCATAACCACCACAATCAGCAATACCACCACCATCACGACAATTCTCATGTTCATCACCATGTCACTCACCACCACCCATCACCGTCACCATCATTACCGTCAACATCAATATCAACATCCTCACCGTCATCATCACGCCACCATCATCATTCATATCAACATCACCCTCACATTCGTCATCATCACCGTCATCATCATCAGCATCATCATTATCATCAGCATCATCACCACCATCATCATCACCGTCACCATCGCCATCAGCATCAGCATCATCAGCATCATCAGCATCATCATCATATTCATAATCATCCTGATCACCACAATGATCAGCATCAGCACCATCGTCAACAACATCACCATGATCAGCATCACCATCATCAGCATCAGTATCACCATCACCATCACCATCATCATCACCGTCACCATCATCAGCATCATTATTACCATCAACGCCAGTATCGCCATCAACATCAGCAGCATTAACATCAGCATCATCGTCGTCATCATCATCCTCATCGCCACCACCACCATCATCATCGTCATCATCACCATCGTCATCAGCATCATCAGCATCATCAGCATCATCAGCATCAGCATCGGCATCAGCATCATCATCACCATCTCCACCCTAACTCCATCGTCGTCGCCATCACCATCGCCATCACCCTCACCAGCTCCATCGTCGTCGCCATCACCACCACCACCATTACCATCACCATCACGCTCATCACTAACATCATCATGTTTACCGTCATCGTCCTTGTCTTCGTCCTCATCCTGCTCGTCCTCGTCCTCCCCTTGCTCATCCTCGGCATCCTCCCACTCCCCCTCCCCCTCCCCCTCCTCCTCTGCTCCTCCTCCTCCATCCTACGTTGGACGGAGATTAAGGCCAGGCGTGTTGCGTTCCTCGAGAGAAACATGTGATAGCATTGATTCAGGAGGAGTGAGCAAGCAAACTTATGCCGCGGACAGGTGCAGATAAAAAGAAGCAAAGGAGAATGGTACTGAAAACGGCCGACAAAGCAGAAATAGCTTAGCCCGCGCTTGTGCAATGCGGGGAGGAGGGTGCAACCGTACAGAATCTGTTATTTCTGATGAACAAGCAGACGACGAAGGAGTAGGAGTCTAGCTACAGTTGCAGGCGGCAGCGGTGGTGCAGTAACTGAGGCAGCTCGTGTCAGATGCTCCTCTGTACAACTAAAGAGGCTGCTGTCAGTCAGTTTTGATAACCCCCGTCCTCCATCCAATGATAAACCTAACTCCGCCACCGCCCAAGTAAGGTAAGCTATCGAACACACATACGCTGTGCGTAGAGGCTGGCACGAGTATACTGGCAAACCTGAGAGCGTCAGCCTGCGATGCAACAAGCTGATGAAGTGAGGCCTCAAAGTGATTGTACAGCAGAATCAAAAAGGGGGAATGCAGTTTGCTTTATGCCACATTGGGATGGGCCCTGCAAAGTGGGCCTTTCCCCTACCGACTGGCCAAAATGGCCACGATAAGGTTTCCACACATAGGGTTCTGCTGTGGGGGCTGACGGGATCAAACTAGTAAGCGCATTGCAGCAGTAGTATCCTCCTTCACCATACTCCGACCCCTAACCCCAAGTAGAATGCTGCAGGAAACTCGGCGGTCATGGACAGGGAGTTGGTAATAATAGGTTGGCGGTGCCAGTGCAGGATAATGCCTCCTTCTCCTCCTCCTGCTTTCCTGATGAGGTGCAGGGAGGTGCAAGCTAAACATGCTGGCGAAGGGCACACCTGATCGCCTCTTTGCAGGGCCAAATCTCCAGTGAGGCGTGCTACCGGTTGCACCGCAACGTCGGTCGTTGCTATCGGGTGCGCCGTGCTCACGGTCTCGCTCTCCGCTGCCTCGGAACAAGGGGCGGCAGGGAGGCGGAGCTGGCCCTCGGCGTGCATTAAGCCCAGCTGCTTCGTCTCGCATCAAGACATCGGCAGCGGGCAGAAATACCGCATCCGTGGACCCGCACACGACCCAGGGCGGCTTCACATACAAACCCTGGGTATTCCAAGGGGGTGCCACACGGAGGAGCCAAGCCGCGCTGGTCAGGCTCATCAAAGCGGTGGTGGAAGGCAGTGAGGGCGGCCGAGCGCGAGGCTGCCCCTGGAGAACAGGCAGTGCAGGCGGCCACTGGCAAGGCTGCCCCTGCAAGGGCAGTGCAGGCGTCCACGCGCAGGGATGCCCATGCTAAACAGAGGCAGTGGCGGCGGCCCAGCAAAGGGCTGCCCCTGCCAAACGGGCAGAAGAGGCGGCCCAGCTCCGGGCTACCCCTGCCAAGCACTTCAGGTACACGCCGGCGGCGGCGCAGGCACCATGGCGCTTGGCTGCCCAGACTGGCAACAACAAGGAGGGGAGGCCTCCAGCCGAGGGCCCCGTCCACGCGAGCGACGCCGAGGGGGGCAACCGCTCCCAGGGCTTCAAGGGTGTGGGCCTTGAGCAGCGCATGGAGGCGCTCATCACGTTCAAGGGCCAAATGCTCACGCAGAAGGACGCGGAGTCACAGAAGCGGGATGCCAGCAAAGGAAGCCTGGCTGTGGACACCTCGTCCAGTTCGGCTTCGAGTTCCACTTGCTTGGAGAAGTCTTCGGAAGTCTAGGCGGACTATGGATGAGCGTCAGGCAGCCCGGGCACTTCTTTTCTGCACGTTTCGGGCACCTTTGGGCCCCACCGGCCCAGGGGCATGAGCGGCCGAGAGGCGCCATGCCAGCAGTGCAAGACACTCGTGGCTAGGGCAGGGCAGCCCTGGCGGCGCCTACGTCGGACATGCGCCAGAGAGACGCTTCTGCGAATGCATTTTCGAGTCCCGTAGCTAGGGCGGCCCTCGTGGCGCCTACGGCGGAAGGAAGCGGGCCAGTTGCCGCTTCCGCGGGCAGCGCGGCCGTCGCGGCGCCATCGCGATAGTTTCTTCCCTGGGAGGCTGGCAAGTGTCTCGGCAGCCTGTACAGGCGACAGGGCCACCGCCGTGCCCTGCGACGTACCAGCGTGCAGGCGCATGGGGCGCACGGGAAATCCTAGGCCCTATCTGCTCAAGCGTGCGATAGTGCTGCCCAGCCAAAATAACCCCCCAAAAAAGAATCCTCCTCCCCTCCTGCCTCGCTCTCCCACGCCTGCCCCACTACGCCGACGCTGACGCTGACGCCGACGCCGACGCCGACGCCGACGCCGACGCAGACGACGACGACGCCGCCGCCGCCGCCGCCGACGACGACGACGACAACGACGACGCCGACGCCGACGCCGACGCCGACGCTGACACCGACGCCGACGCCAACGCCGACGCCGACGCCGACGACGACGACGCCGACGCCGACGACGACGCCGCCGACGACAACAACGACGAAAACGACGACGAGGACCACCACCACCACCACCACCACCACCACCACCACCACCACCACCACCACCACCACCACCACCACCACCACCACCACCACCTCCACCCCCACCCGCCCTGCTGGGGCCCTGCCCCTCCGGCAGGCGGGCAACCGGGGCATGGCGACGGGAGGCGGCGAGCTGGAGCACTCTGCGCAGTGAGCGCGCGGGGGGCGCGGCAGGAACGGCGGAGGCTGGGGGAGTAGGAGTCGGAGCCAGAGGGATGGGGAGTTG